ATGTATGTATGTATGTATATAAATAACAATCATAGTCTTGGTAACATTAATAACAGGAATGCCAATAACAAAACTGGATATTATCGTAGTTATGCAATGACAATTAAATTATGGCAAAATTAGTCGTAATCAGGCTAACCGGAAGAATAGCAGTATGTTTATAATCGTAGTAACCATACGTAATACCCATATTTATACTCAAAATCATAATACAGGCAGGCACACACATCAGACAGTAATTCCATCCATTCATCCATCCATCCATCCATCCCTCCAACCGTCCGTCAGTCCACACATCACTCCATCGGTGCATCCATCCACGCATTCATGCATGCATCCATCGAACCATACATGCAGTCATGCATCCATCGCCCAATCCATCCACCCACCCACCCATCTTATATTGAACCGTTCCACAGTAATGAACCTATCAAGTCTGTCATACTCCACTAGCTATTTTTGCACTATGCCGCAGCACGCGAGGCGAGGCGAGGCGGGATTCTATGCCATGCTGCTTTCTTTTTTGCGATGTGTGTCACATTATGGGCTAAGGACTGTAGGAAGCCAGGGCCCTGGGAGCGGGACATAAGAGCATCTGGACTAGAACCGAAGTCACCCGCGGCCCAGCTCCGAAGAAGCTTTAGGGCTCTGACGGCACTCTCGTGGACTCGACGACGTCTGCAGAAAATCGATAGAGCCTCGTCTGAAACTGCCCCAGCATGCTGCAGCCATCATCCAGCTGCCCAAGCCTGCCATCCCCTTATGCATCGTCTCAGTGCGCCCTGTTGGGCTTGTTCAAGGAGAACCGCCATGTCATGCACCTGCAGACACGCCAAAAACAAGTAAGAAGAGAGATGTTGCCGCAAAAAGGACTTCACACGACTGGGCTTCGGCAAGCCTGAGCAAGCCAGGAAAGCATGATCTTCTTGAGAAGAGCGCTTGCAAAAAGCACCAGCAGGGCTGGTTGCACTGCCTGCGCAGCAGGATGGTCAAGCTGAGCAATCTCGCGTGCCTAGGACAGTTCACATTCATAATCATATAATCTGCTTCGCTTAAAAGTTCAACCGCCTCACTGTGAACTCGAATGCTGCAGCGAGGAATTTACATCAATGTGGCCGTTTACCTGCATGTGGTGCGGGTGGACGTCGAAGGGGGCCGGGCCGAAGAGCAGCTCGGCGGCCACGGGCTGCCTAGGCCATGAAACTTGCTCTTCGGCCTCCCGCAGATGTTTGGAGAGACGTGATGTGTGTCAGCCCGGCGCCATGGGGAAGCCGCAGCGGCATCTGGAAGTTGCAGCCTCTATTGAAGCAGGGACTGTGTACTGAGTCATCGCACACCCTGCTGCGCAAGAGAGTCCCGAGGGCGGCCCGGCAGGGCCTGCACACCCTCTGACCATGTCCAGAGCAAGCTGTGTGGACTCGGAGCCAGCGCCAGGCCGCCAGCAGCTGCGGGGCGCTGTGCATGGCCACCACCTCTCACATGGATAGCTCGCTAAACTAATGTGCGTGTATGGATGTATATACATAAATACATATGTAGAGCATGCAGAGATGCATACACTGACCATGTTTTCAGTGTGTGCGTCTGTCGCCTTGCCGCGCTTGCGGAACCAGCTGAGCCATGCCTACAACGAATCACGACAATCACTCTATGCGGCAAGGCTTGCAGCGTGCAGCCATTCATCTGTTGCCAGCAGCCTGCCACGAAGTTGCCAGCATCGCACGAAGGCGGTGTACATCCGCCCAACTTTGATACCTGGACGTGCCAGAGCAATTCTGCTTTCTGCAGACATGGACCGAAGGAACAGAATGCATGTCAAGACACAGCTTTCTGAGCCGCTGCTGCTCTGCGTGGTTCACCAAAGCCGCCCAACAAGCCTCCAGAGAAGAAAGCGGAACCCGAAACCCTAAACCCTAAAGCGTAAATCACCTAAACCCTAAACCCTAAATCCTAAACCCTGAAAGTTAAACTTTCCTAAACCCTAACCCCAACTAAACCCTAAACCCTAAACTTTCCTAAACCCTAAACCCAACTAAACCCTAAACCGTCATCCCTAAACCCAACTAAACCCTAAACCCCTAAACCTCAAACCCCTAAACCCCTGAACCCTAAACCCCCAACCCCTAAACCCCTAAACCTCAAACCCCCAAACCCCTAAACTCTAAACCCTAAACCCAACTACGTAAACCCTAAACCCAACTAAACCCAACTAAAGCCTCTAAGTTTCTCAGCCCCGTCCCCAAGGCCAAGGCCTCCAGGAGCTGGTGGCGAGCCGCCGCGGCCCGGTCGAGGACCTGCAACTGAAACCCCACGGCTTCCCTCCTTTCGGGAGTTTATAGGGGCTTATAGGGGTTTATAGGGGCTTATAGGGGTTTATAGGGGTTTATGGGGGTTTAGGGTTTAGGGCTTTAAGGGTTTAAGGGCTTTAGGGGTTTAGGGCGGGTCTTTGCCACAGCGGCATGAGGAAAACGGCCAACTGCAGCTAACCGATCATCCAGGTTCCAGCGCTTAGTGTCAAAGGCGGAGACTGCCCAGCCAAAGCTCCCATTCTTTGTCCATGAAGGACCAGAGTCCCCCCCCCCGGCCTCTAGGGGCCCCACCTCTGGGGACTAGGACTCTTGGTAAGAGGAGGAAAGACATCAGCTGAGCGAGGAAAACTGGGGCCCCTGAGCACTGAAAGCTTCAAGACGAACGGCATGCCCAGGCTGCATGCGTGGCTTAAACGGGTTTCGACCCCTGACAGTCACATGAAGCCAAGATAAGCGTTGACATGTTCACCAGTCGTGAGGTGCGCAAGGCCTTGTGATGCGCTCGCCGCCTCGCTTGTCTTTGGACCTCGCCGGGTTGCAGCTGACACTGAAAACTTATCAAGAAGACTCGTTTCCATTGCACAGGCCCTCTGTCTGAGAAAGGTTAGTGATTTTGGCGGCCATGCTTCTGCGCACTCATTATCGCTAATGTCCGATTCGTTTGCCCCAGCGGCACAAACAGAATTGCAGGAAAAAGCTCCCCCTTTGGCCTGGAGGCGAAGGGCATGCAAGCCACCCTGGAGACCTCGGGCTCTTGTGCACTCCCCCCAACCAGAACTCCCAGCCTTTACCCATAGGCCCCTAAGTAGTTCCTTTGTGGGATTATAGACCTTATAGGATTCTAAACAAATATAAGCCACCAAAGGGAACTACTTAGGGGCCTACGGGTAGGCCCTCCGTGTTCTGTGTTCAGTGCTTGTTAAGCTCCGAGCTGCGCCTTCGGAGGCACAGCGCCGACAGGTGGAGCAGCGCCTTCTCCTCAGAAAGCTAAGATCTGCGCCTTTAGGGTGTAGGGTTTAGGGGTTTAGGGGTTTTTTGTGTTTAGTGGTTTGGGGTTTATAGGGCTTATAGGGTTTATATAATTGGGGAGCGGCCACTGATTCGCAGCAGGCGTTCTCGATCATGCTAATGAACCTAATTAGCCGTTTGATGTATTTAACTGAATGAATGAGTTCCAATTTAATTCAAATTCCGGGGAGCAGTTGCGTTTGAAGGATCTCAAAGAATCCAAACTTGTAAGATGCTTGAAATGTTTGTCTTGCGCTCCTTGTTCGCAATTCAAAAGTTTTCATGCTGTAACATTTGTTGTGCGCTCCTCCTCCGCGGATCAAGTTTGTCAAACATCTTTAACATTTCAATCATCTAACACTAACATGAGTGAGATGTTTGGGATGTTTAACATGTTCAAAGCCTGAAGTTTCTGGAATTGGTGTCTTACCAAATTCGCAGATAGCGGGAGCATTTGCATGTCAATCATTTCCAACTTTTCAACCATTCTAAACATTTTCGACATTTGGCACGTCTGTTGCACGCTCCTTTTTCGCATGTCCATTCTTTTGAATATATACAACATATCTGTTGTGCGCTCCTCTTCCACATTGCGAAAGCTTACATAAACTACCAGAAGCCATGCGTCAAATGGGAGCGTGAAGTGCAGCTTGCAAAGAGATATGTAATATATAGATAATACGGACGTAGATATAGTACAGACTCATACAATAGACATAGTTATATATATATATAGATATAGATATGAAAACAGACACATGTACATATAAATAAATAAATAAACGGCCAGATGGATGGATAGATAGATAGATAGGTACATAGGTAGCTAGCTAGCGAGCAAGCTAGATGGATGGATACATACATCCATACAGACTATAAACGAACGTGTGTGTTTGTGTGTGTGTGTGTCTCTTTGTGTCTGTGTGCTCCCCGCCCTGCCGCATGCGACCTGTCGGTTGTTCTGCCACTGGGCCACCCAGGCCTGCACCGGAAATCAAGAGCCGCCGCTTCTGGAGTGGGCCAAAGATGGACAGTGCAAGGGGCCGCCTGGAACTTGCAGCGCAGCCTCCGCTGCTGCGCCCGGCGTGCGAAGGCCTGACAGGCCAGTGAGCCACCGAGGATCGCCGAGATCGCTGGCTCCTGCCTCGTCCCTTTGCAGCCGAAGCCAGGCCGCGAGGAACCTGAAGGCGACCCTTTGAGCCTCATAGATTTGCTTTTATTCAAACCTCTGCTCGCCTCCGGCCGGTCCGCCGCCGGATCGCCACATTGAAGTCGCGAACCCGCTGTCGCTGCTGCACTCTCTGCTGCGACCTGCAAGAGGCAGACGAATGTGCACATGCTCAGCTGTGGAAGTGTGGTGCAACCCCAACCTCATTCTCCAGCTTTGCAGGGCAAGCAATCGCGAGCGTCCCACTCTCTTCGCGACCAACTGAGTTGAAACCCACTGCAAGAATGACAGATATCTCCACTGCATTGGAAGGTGACTTGTGCTCGGCGGCTATGCGATTGACTGAGCGCTGCGGCACTTTGCTGACGGTCGCGCAGCTGACGGCCGACAGAAGCCTGGGCCTGTGATGAAGCAAATACGGGTGGGCCTCCCTACTCGTGTAGGCCAGTAGAATTTGCGGCGGGGCGGCACCTTCCAAGCGTGGAGCCAGCAGCAGCGATGGCGCTCTAAGGCACGACGAGAGAAGCCAGCGGTCTTCGCAGCCTGCAGGAGGTTTTTTTTGCGCAGGATTCGTTGGGAACTGCGAGCCTCTGTCAGCCAGGAACCGAAGATCTTCTTCAGCAATGCGCTTCGAAACAGGATCAGCAAGCTTTGCTGCATGGCCTGCAACAGGATTGTGGCATGCCCTGCAAGCGAGTCCTCCAGCTATTTACCCAAATGTTGCATCTAATCTAATTTGTCACGTGCAGCAACACAAGCCCCGTTGGCTCCTGCATGTGGTGCGGGTGGACGTCGAAGGGGGCCGGGCCGAAGAGCAGCTCGGCGGCCACGGGCTGCCTGGGCCCAGGAATCTCTGCCCGATGCCTCTGCTGCGTGTCAGCCCGGCACCATGGTGCAACCGCCGCATCAATGGGAAGTTGCGGCCTCGATTGCACGGGTTGCTATAGTACTCGTCACTTGAGCGCGGGGCCCGGCCTGCGCATGAACTGCCCATGGGCAGAGCAGGCTGCGTGGACTCGGAGCCAACGCCAGGCCGCCAGCAGCTGCGGGGCGCTGCGCATGGCCACCACCTCTCATCAAAACCCCAAATCAAAGTGCGGGCACGAAGGCACCTGCAGAAGGCCCGAAGCCTTCCCGCGTTTGCGGAACCACTGGAGCCAGGCCTCCAAGAAGTGAGAGGCCATCATGTGACTTACAGACCCCCTGAAGTGCACCCCGGCCTGCCATGCCGCAGTCAGCCGAGAGCGGAGCCAGTGGACGTCCGCCCAGCTACGATACCTCACGCAATTAACGGAGCAGAAAGCGCCTTGCAACAAGAGAGATGCAAACTTACAGGCTTGGTCAGTATAGTTCGTCGCGGCACAGCTTCATCAAGCGCCGACTCTCAGCATATCTCAGGAAGTACATCCAGCATACCTTCACATAAGGCTGCAGAGGTAATAGCCAGAGAACTGCAGGCTCGTGTACTCGCCCGCCTTCAACAGTTTGCAACTTGCCTCTGCAGCTGCGTCACGCACCTGCAGGCTTGGCTTGTCGTGGCTCTAAGTCGCAGAGCTGTCGGTGCACACGCGGCAAGCTTTTGAAACCCCGCAACGTGCAGTTCCTGTAGCGTTCAGTAAGCTCCTGCGGAGACAAACCACTGCAGGCAGTTGGAGCATCAGCTGGATAAAAGACGCACATGTCCAGCGAAAAGGCTTTCTCGATCCTCTGACGTGTCTCATTTGGCAGGTCAGAGCATTTAGAATGTGTCGTCTTCAGCGTGTGCCGCCCATCGATTTCTGCCGGGACCACTACGGGCTTCAAGTACTCGCGCAACCTCTCGATACTTCTCGTCCAGTTGTCTTGACACAGAAGGAGATCCACTCCAAACGTCTTGTTGTGGAAGAAGACAAACTTGTGCTGCGGCATGAAATGCAAAAAGTCGTGGAAGGTGCGACCTTAAATCCAAAACATGGCCGAGAGCCTTCAACTGCTGTCAACAAGACTGGCACGAGCCGAAGAGGTGTAATGACAGCGTTGTTGATCCGTCTGATGGAGAGCCAGGGGGCTGCCGAAGAACTTCGAGGCAACGTAGGTGGTGAGGTTGCCTTCCCCAAAGTGCCTGCGCTGCTCTCTTGAGGACTCCATGGTCATATGAGGCCAGATGGAGAGCTCTACTTAGCCTTAGGCCGTCCAGGCCTATAGGCCTATACCTACTAAACTGGCAAACTCCTGTAAATCACCGAGGCTCTCCCGGTACCATTGCCGCTCCGGCTTCGGTGCATCTGTCGTGTGAACATATGTCCACGCGGACACGAAGCGCTCGCAGGGGTGTCGCACCATGGTGAAGCTCCGAAAGCTGGGAGCTCGTCCTCTCCTCGTGTTGACAATCCATGTCAGGGATTCCGAAATATTGGATAATGATGCTCTTATCTACTTAATAAGTTAAGGCATGTGTTGCTGACCATGCATCATGCATGCCCACAGCGCCTTTGTACAGAAGCGTTGTTGAGGGAACATGGTGATGCGCGGGACAGCAAATGCGATTTTGTGCTTCCCAGGAGGCGTCAGTTGTTGCAGTTGTTGTTCAGCAGCAGCAGATGGTGGGGGGGCGGAGCAGGAGCAGGCAGCATTCTGCAACAAGCTTTGAACAACTGCCAAATGCGTCGAGCGTCAGCACTTCCGCCTCACTGTGGCCCTTGGTGTTGTGAAATTTCTGGGCATCTTCGAAGAGCCGGGAGTCCTCGATCGTGCTTCCACCGGTCTTCGGCACATGCACGAAGATTGCTTTGTTTTTGCGGCTGAGTTGGCCGAAGTCTTGTCGGTAGGCTGCCCTGTTGATCACCGAGCCATCGAAGGCTTTCAAGACAGGAAAGAGCGTCTTAAAGGGCGGCCGTGTGGTCGTGGTCGAGGGCTTGGGGGTATTGGGGGTCGACCTCGTGGTCGGACCGGGCACACGCGGCCTCGTGGTCGGACTGGGCCTCGCCGGCCTCGTCTTTTCGCCGACGGCTTCGAAGCGCCCTCGGCTGGCCCGTAGCACAGAGAGCCCAAGTGGCAGAAGCAGCGTGACGCTGCAGGCGAATGCACCAGCAAGTGCCGGCAGTCTCATGCTCTGGCACTGACTGTTCTGGAAGCTGGTGCTAGCTGCTGTGGAGATATGGAGTTTGCTCTCGGACCGCTCTGGGTCCCTTTGACCTGTGCTGGAATCATGAGTTTCATGAGCGTTGAACAGGAAAGCTGCAGCGAGGAAGACCCCTCTTCTTCGTCCCTCTCCATTTCTCTCTCCGTTATCTCTGAAACTCACATGTGAAAGAGGCCTCACAATATGGAGACACACAGAGTAGCAAGATCGCCACTACTGCTATTGCTAACAACATGCTCCTGCCGTGGAATTCGGATGGTTGTTGATTTTCCACTTCGTATTTCTGATTTGCGATCGGAGGCGTGGTGGAAGGCGCTCCAAGTGACAGCAAGTGGCATCGCGGCTACTCATCCTCGGCTACTCAAAATAAAAGACCTGTCAGAATCTGAGTGCTGCTGAGTATTCTGACAGCCTCCAAGGTCTCCGGCTACACACTTGAGCTGCGAGCTGGAGGTACTTGAAGAACTTCATGGAACTGCTGCCCAATAGTGGCTTCCTATATACCAACATCCCTGCAGCAAGGCACCTCTGCGGCTCAACGCCTTTTGCCCGACACGCGAGACTTGCACGTCTGGTAACGTGCGGTCAGTTCTTGCGCAGACAAGCCACTGCATGCCGTTGGAGCGTCAGTTGGATAAAACAGGCACATGTCCATTGCGTAGGCTTTCTCGATTCTCTGACGCGTTTCGTTTGGAAAGTCAGAGCATTTCGAGTGCGTAGTGCTGCGTGCGTAGGTGTGTCTAAACGGAGGGATCGCTGTAGGCTTCATGTACTCCCGCAATCTCTGGATGCTGTTTGTCCAGTTGTCTTGGCACAGCAGGAGATCCACGCCGAAAGTCTTGTTGGCGAAAAAGAGAAACGAGTGCTGTGGCTGGAAGTGCAAGAATCTCCAGAACACATCACCTCAGATGAACGCGGGCATTGGAGAAGAGCTACAAGCTGGGCTACAAAGAGCTTCAACGGGCCAGAACCGGCCGAAAGCGGGGCCTCACTTGCAGTTTTGGCGCCACCGAAGTCACTCGAAGCCACATAGGCGGTCAAATTCCTGGCTCCGATATTCCTCAGCTGCGACATCACAGCCTGCAGCCTTCTGCTTTTCATCTTCCAGGAACCCATCTTATATACTTATATATATATATATACACATACAATCATGATCATATCATCATAATCATAATAATGACAACAATAACAATAAAAATAGTAGTAGTAGGAGTAATAATTATTATTATACAAATATTTTTGTAACAAAACAATCACAATAATCACAATGATAAGGCATAACATCGCAAGATATTTGTCAGGTTAAGGCTCTTGTGATGCCAGCGTAGCTCGGGCTCTGGGGCCACCGTGAGAGTGTAGGTGAACGCAGAGATGAACCGCTCGCAAGGATGTCGAACCATGGAAAAGCTGCGAAAGCCGGGCGCAAGGTTCCGCCTCGAGAATGGGTGACTTCGGATCACAACCACAATCCAAGACTGCTTCCCTCATCCATACGAGCGGTCAGCAGTGTCCGGAAATATTTATTCAACCCAGGTATAATTAACAGGATTGTTGACAACAAATTAAGAGCTCTCTATTCGCGGGAGCTGCACACGTAAGCCGGACTGCTGACTCGCACTAGGACGAACAGAATCCCACAAGATACATCCAATGCAGCATCTGCCCAACTGCGTGTCAGGCAGCAGTTTTTCAGCCTTAGTGTGACCGCCGATGGGATGATGCCTCTTAGCGTCGTAGAACAACTTCGATTGCTCGATTGTGCTCCCACCAGTCTTGGGCACATGGACGAAGATCAATTTGTTTTCTCTGCTGATCTGGCCCACATCCTTGTCGTACGCTGGATCTTTGGCAGGCAGCTTCCATTTCGGCTTCTTGCCCTTCTTCTTTGGATGGCCGGATGGGGTGGCTCGAAGATGCGGCGATTCAGC